TGTGGGTTGCCGGGGTGGTTTGTGGTGGAGGGCCTGTCCAGTATGAGTGCAGGCGGGCTGCGTCTTGTGGTGGGGTACGTGGTGAAGGAGAGGGTGAACGGCTGGAAAGCCCGGGTGGTAGTGGAAAACCTGGCGGTATGTTGTGGATAATAGCCAGGTTTCTGCTGGAGAGTGTGGCTGTGGGGTTGACGCGGTATTGTCCTGGGAGCCCGGGGCCGGTGGTAACAAATTGAAGGAGTCGTCGAGCCTGGGAGAGGTCATCGATCAGGCGGTCCAGCAAGATCAGGTCGCCGCGCAGTCGGTAAAGGAGGTTGTATGCTCTCTGGTCTTGAAAATAAGTCTGGCTTGGCATAGGTTCAGTGTGGAATGGGTGACGGCGGAGGTGTTGGTTGACCATAGAGAGGAGGTCCAAAGAGCCGTTGAGGGATTGAAAATCGGGTTGGGTACAAATCGAAGGTTGGAGCCAGCTCGGAGGGCACTGTGGGAGGTAGTGTTCTGTATCAGCGGGGTTGCTATGAGGGCGAGCGCGAGGATTGGCCATGACAATTGATGGACTGAGATGGCGTACAAAAGGCTGCGGAGCTGAGGTGAGCCTGAAAACTGACAAATCGAAGGTGGGCAACTTGGTGAACATAGACTGGGTATGAAGAACTAAAGGTCAGTGCATGTCAGCGGATTTGTCGTGCGGCACGCCGTAAGGAAAGTGGGTGAAACGGATCAAATAAAATAACTGCCAACTGGCGTGAGTGGAGATTTCTCCGGATGACTGTCTTCACTAAGCGCTCGCTCAGCAGCCGGCGGCAGCAGCACGGCAGCAGGAGTCGTTGGATATTGTGAAGTCGGTGGCGTTGTGGTGGGGGAAGGGGAGAAGTCCGGTTGTGAATGTGGTGCTGGGGAAACTGCTGGTGATGTGGGTGTTGGTGAGGGGGAAGGTGCTAGTCTTGCTGGTGCGGTTGGTAGTGGTGTGGAGAAGAGTTGCTGGTCCTGCTGACGTTGCATGTCTTTGAGTTCTTGCCATCGGGCTTGGCATTGCTCAACGGAGAAACCCACTCGGCGGGCCACAGTGGTCCAGTTGGGACGAAGTTTTGGGTTTTCTTTGAGTTCGACCAGGCGACAGTCAGCGTCGCCGTCCCAAGCGTCCCAATCGGCCTGTCGGTTCAAAGGTGGTGGGGGTGGTTGCTTCCGCTTGCGTGTTGTGGTGGGTTGTGGATCAGGGGGTGTTGTTGGAGTGTCGTCTGAGTCTTGTAAGGGTGGTGCTGGTAAACGGATGGGTGGTCTGGATGGTGCTGAGTCACAGGATGAGGTGGTGGATGGTAAACGTATAGGGTGGTTGGGCGGAGTTGGAAGTGGCTGAAAGTGTTGGCGGAAAGTGGGGTCCGCTTGGTGGCTGTGGTGGAGGAAAACCGTGTGGAGGTGTGCTACAATATCTGTTGCTTGTCGAAGCAGGTTGTGCACCTGCGAAAGTGCCACTGCGGTTTTGTGTATGAGAGTTGAGGTGTCGTTTTGTAGAGGTGTCGGTGTGCTGCTCATGAGTCTGAAATGTAGGGGTGTGCAGTGGTCAAGAATCGTCACAGGTTGCTGCGGCAGCGCGCCAAAGCAGCCGGACAGCGGCGAGTCTGAGGGAGCGCGTCATCCCGAGGCCGTGCATATGAATTAAGCGAGCATCAAATTCCCACAGGCAAAAGTGCGAGTATGCAATGCCGGTTGGACAATTGAGTACATGACTTGAAGAATCACTCTCCACGATGCAGAATCTGACATGTGAAAGACTCCTTCAAAACAGCCGGTACAATTCAAAAAAGTTCTCAGCAAACACTGCAGAGCTAGAAAAATTGAGGGTTCAAAATTCCCGTGGCCGCTGCAGGAGGCTCTTTTTTGCTGCTACAGCAAAGGTTGGGTGGTGGTGTGAGACCAAAAGTGGATGTGGAGGTGGTAGTGGTGTGTAGAAGTGTGGTAGTGGTGTTATGGGTCCGGTGGAGTGGAGTTGGTGGACCAGGCCAGTCCTTTGACAATGGCGTGGTCCGGGTGGATCACCCAGCAGCGGCCTTTCTGATGAAAGACTGCACCATGGTGGTCGTTAAGGAGGTTCATGGCGTGTTCCTCACCTCCAGAGGTATATTTTGTGGCAGCACCCCAAGCAAGGAGTGTGATGATAAGGGAATGGGAATTCTTGTGGAGTTGCCAGGTGTTGTGGATGATGCGGGCAAGTTCGTTGTGGTCATGGGGTTGGTTGTGGGTGATGCGAACGCCCTGGGCAAAAAATCCAGGGTAGTTAGCAAAGTGGAGTGTGCTGGGTAAAAAACGGCCTTGGCGTAGAATGTTGGAAATGTTGCCGACGGGGCCTGTGTGGCCTGCGTTGATGTGGGCGACTTCCCGGTGGGTTGATGTGGCGCGGGAAACCGCAGGTGGCTCTGGTGTAGTGGCTTTGGTGTTGAGGAAGGGAAGTGAAATGGCGTAGTACTGGAATTGGTCGTATTGGTGGGTTGTGTCGTTCCACTTAGCGTGGGTATATTGTCGGAAATCGGTGATCTCCTTGTAGGTGATGTTGCAGTCTGTGAGGATATTGGCAATGTACTGGTGTTGTGGTCGGTTGGGATTGTCGAGTTGGGTGGCGTGGAATTCGAGCCATTCCAGGATTTGGTCTGCAGGTGTAAAGGTGTGAAAGTTGGGTGGAGGTCGCCAACGGTTGATTGGGCGACGGAGGACGGCTGTGGTGGGATATTGAGAGGGGTCCGGGTTGGTGTGTTCGGTGTTGGGGCGTAGATCAATGGGTTGTGGTGGCGAACGACTGCGGGATGGCGTAAGGCTGGATGTGTAGGTGGATGTTGAAGGCGACCGCCGTCGCCGGGTTGTGCTGTGATGTTTGGAGTGGCGGTGATGGCGATGTCGGCGGCGGTGGCGGTGGCGTCCTCTGTGGTGATGGTCGGACTTGCGTCGGCTCTTGTGGTGGTGGCGGCGACTGCTGTGTGGTGGTTGCGGGGAAGGTGGTTGCGGTGCTGGTGAGGCAGTGGTGTCAGGTTGGTCTGGTGCTGGTAGTGAAGGTCCAGGCGCTGGTGTGGCAGATATGAGCGATGGGGATGCTGAATGTTGGGATACGGTAGCTAGTGGAGGCGTGTTTTGGACTGGTAATGGATTGTCCTGGGCAGTCGTGGGGATGGGTTGGATCGGTAGTGTTGGATCCGATGGTGGCTGCTGTTGAGGTGGAGGTTGGGTTGGTGTTGAGGCGTTGATGGTTTGTGGAGGCGGTGGCGGGGGCAACGGTTGGAGTGGAGGCTGTGTGACAGGGGGAAAAGCTGAATAGGGTTGCCAAACGCCCTGGGGGATGGCGCATTGGGGGTCTGTGGATGGATAATTGGCAATCGCAGGCTGTGGCTGTGTTGGAGGGGGATGTGTCAGTGTAGTGGGGGGGGGAAGTTCAGCCGGTGATGTGGGATGATGTGGTGGCAACAGGTAGGACGGGGGAGGTGCTGCTGTCGGAAACACTGGAGTTGGATGTGTGGGTTGCGGTGGCACGTGACATGGTTGGACAAAAGTCCAAGTGGATGGTGTGCCGTAGGTCAGGGCAGTGGCGGTAGGGTTGGACAGGAACGGTGGTGGTTGAAATGGTTGTGGTTGTGGGTGAGGGTATGCCGATGGTTGTGTCGAGGGAAAGGTGGGTGCAGTTGATGGTTGTGGCATCGGCCATGTGGGTTGAGGTTGTGTGGTAGGCAATGGTGGTGGCGTGGTGTGAGCATAGGGCCACGGAAAATGCATGTCGTGGTCGTAGCTATGGCGCGGCGCGGCGCGGCAGCAAAAACAGCGGAGAAGTGCCGAGTTGTATTGTCTTGTTGTTGTTGTTGTTGAAGGTGTCATCTCTGGTGTCAGTGGTGAGTATGTTGTAAGGTGGTGCTAAATGTGAACTTGTTGGTAGGTGTGTGTTCATGCATCTCGAATTAGATTGAAGAGCTCTAATGCCCAAACTTGAGTTCTGCTGATGAAAAAGTCACGGCATCGATATGGCAAAACGTGGAAACACAAACGTGACTTGGAGGAGTGAGCATGATGGATCCGAAATCTGAAAGCTGATATCCGATGTATTCTTCAAGAACCGTTTTTTGGCCCGGCGGCCGGTGTGGCGGTTGATTCTGCGAGGGTGTCGGTGCCTTCCTGTGATGTTCCAGTGAGCGGTGGTACGTTGGGGTGGTTGCTTTCCCATGCAAGAACGGCGCCCCTGTGACGGGGATCACACTCAGCACCCGAGTGGGACGGCTGAGCAGGACACACTTCGAACTTGGAGTTTTCAGTTAACGCAATTGTCTCTATGGGAACGGCATGGAAGGAAGGCGATGGAACGGCATGGTGAAGAGTCCGAAAGACTTGTAGGTGTTTCAACAAGTTGTTGGTCAAGTCTGCTGAACGATCGGTCGGCGCGGCCCAGCTGCAAAACAAACGCGGCAAAGGGAAGGTTTTGGGGAAGTATCATGAAGAACCATGAACCAAAAACGTGGAAAGTGGAGTCACAGCATGGAGAGAACTCAGCAGGTACACAATGCGGCGTCCCGCATTGCTTCACGACCGATCCATCACTGTCTTCGTTGGGCAGTGAGTGATGGTGGTCCACTGCCCCCCTGCCTGTGTAAAATGGGAAGAGTGGTGGGGTAAGACCCTTTGTCCAGGGTGGGACACACACACACACACACACGCACCCCTGCACACACAACCACACAGAATCAACGACCAGTCATGTGTCATAGGTTTCAACATGTCAACTATACTATACAGTGCCGAGTGAAACATGCCAGCTAAGCTAGTACTCCAACACCTCGCATATATATATATGTGCTCCGACTCCGCACCCAAAAGCCGTTCAGCAGTGCGTTGTCACCCTACTACTGTGTAGGTTTCACAGCCCGGCACAACCAATGGAACATGACATCAACAAATACTCTGAAGGCTTTCCTGTTGCAAACCAATGATTTTCAGCTTCGATGCTTCTCACAAACTGTCTACGCCCGGGGCACTGGAGGCATTGCCAAGCGGATCTGCATCTCAGGCATTGACCCGAAGAGGTCCATTTGTGGTTGACCTGCAGATCAACAAAGCCTATCTGCCGCTTGTGGATTGAAACAGGGAGACGAGGAGAAATAGAACACCCATTGGTTGGGCCCCCCGGTTCCCATACACACTGGTCGATCATCTATACAATACTCAAATCCCGGTGCCTGTAACTCCCATGTGAGCTCTTGTTGTGGCGCCTAGGCAAAGAAGTATGTGGAAGTTGCACTACGGAAGTCTTCAGCTACGCAAATCTATGAAATAATGCACCCAAGCAGTCTCCGGCTCAAAGGTCTATATATACATGGACTTATATATATATATATGCTTATATAACTACTATATATATAATATACTTATCATGATTTATCATGTATGTATGGAGTCCCACACCCCAAAAAAAGAGCGCAGCCAATTCATGTCTGCTTCCCAAGTAGGAAGCAAGTTGGAAGAACAGATGCATTACGCAACATGATCGAGTGTCTGCACCGTCTGCATAAGCGAATGCCAAAAGGCACCATGCACCCTGGTCGCTCTAAGCTGCCAAGTGTCTGCTGGAGCTGGACGAATCCTGCAAAACACCCTGTCTGAGTGAGTCTAATAAACCATCAAAACAAGGATGAAAGGGCATTCCGGTCCATATATTTATGATATTTACTTGTTTAGCCCCTGGCACGGTTGATCACAGCTCGAAGTGATTGGATGAGAGACAATGCCACGACTTGCTTGGACCAGGGATGCTGGAGCTGGAGAACTGGGACTGCCACTGCAGGGGATCAACATGGATTGCCTGCGGATTCCTGGTGGGTAAAACGCTGTACCGACACCACGCAGCTTCCCCACCGTCCTGCCGAAGGCCCACACCAGCAGCACCCACAACGTTCAAGGACTTGGGAGGCGCTGTTGGGCTGTTGGGCTGGCTCAGCACAAACAAAACACTGTGACGTTTGGACAGCGATCTTTCATTGACGTTGGGCCACCGGCCACCTGGATTATACACAAACGGCGCAAGGATGTTAACAACAGTACCACTATCGTTTATGTTCACAAAGCAGTTGTGTTCACAAAGGGCACCTTTTCCGCCAAATGTCAGGGCCACTCAGCAAGGATACACGATACATGTTGAGTTCTCTAACTTTCATCCTTTGCTGAAAAGCAGCGCAGCACACCTACCTTGCCACACAGTTGGCTGCGTGGCTCTGATGGAGGACTTGCGTCGTCCGGTCATTGGTCGGCCAAGCGTCAAAGCCCCTGACGCGGATATCACCTGGACGGCTATGGCGGAACATGGCTCATGTGGCTCAAGTTTATGGAAACGTGCCATTTCCTCCTGCCTGATCAAAAATATTGCTCACACCCTAGTGCTGATCTGGGAAGGACCATGTTGATTTCTGCTGGCTCAGCAACGGCAATCAAACAAAGTCCAAGTCCAAAAAGTCACTCTGAACCCTATAGGCAAACCAAGACTTTTGACATATTATCCATGCACAGTCCTGAGAAGAAACATGAAAGGGGAAAAGGTCCATTCTGTAGCGTAAAGTCGTCTTCCAGGGGTCAGTTTCCACTTCGGCAGTTTTTTAGAGTTAACTGGTTGTTGCAGTGGTGTGCCAAGCAGCGTTGCACACGAGGGCAAAAGTACTCACCATCGCTGCATGCTGACACATCAGGGCCTGATTTCCGGAACGTCGAACAAGGATAATAACAATAACATCTAATTTCTCCGGTATCCACGTGGATGATGGTTAGTAAATTAGTAAGTAAAGGCCTTTCTCAAGAATTGCGATAATCTTTATCGCTCGCGGTTACTGCTAATGAGGCACCCCCTCATGAAATCAGGTAGTATTATGTTTGAATCTGCGCACGCACTTCTGAAACCTACAGTGAAACGTTGATATTTAGTATTTAGTGTTAAAACCACCTCAAGCGATTTAACTATTTCCAACCATTACCAACCGGTGACCGGTTCACCGGTGTGGCGATGGCTCGGACTGGCCGTCGCTTCGTTCTGCCGCTGGTGCTCGCTTGATCCGATCCAAGGAGCAAGGTACTTGAGGATCAACTTCGGGAACTGCAGATGGAAGATGAAATCGGCCAACCCTGAAGATGGAACGAGAAAACAACTAACGTGACAAAACACGGAAACCAAACAGGTATTTCATGGTATTTCATGTAAGGTGAACATAAATGAACCTATATATTTGTAATATACTATATATATGATGGAAATACATGGAAGGAAAATGGACTTCCAAATTCAACACTGCAAGCCAAGGGTGCTCGCATGTGCTCGCCGAGCTGCTGGATGTGAGCCAGGAATCTCTCGGGACTCAGCTGTGGCGCTTCTTCGCCTTGAGAAAGCCAAGAAAATGCCAAGAACAGGCCCCAAACAAAAGAACGGCAAGCGATATGATGCGATATGAACGCCTTGGCCCTGTAAGTCTTTCAGCCCATTTGGATCCATTTGGGCACGCAAAGTCCTTTTTTGTTCACTATAGTTTCATGAGGAAAGAATCAGTATATATATATATATACACATATATATACCATATTGACGGCATATGCTGTTAAGAGCGGCAAACAAAAGCGATGTTTCCCCTGGGTCGCTACCAGGGTCAAACGACGACTGCCTCCGGACGCCCTCTGGGATTCCGTCGCCTTGGTATCTCATTGCTTCCAACTTCAGGGCGAAGCCGTCTGCCTGGTGCGAAAGCTTCGGGTACGGCGTGTACCACCAGTGCATCCAAAGAGGCGAATCGATAACCCCCCTCAACCAATGAACAGCATCTGAAGGTTCAACACTTGGTGCAATACCTTCCTGCAACCGGCAATGCAGCAATACGAATGTAAATAGCTTCCGCTTCAGATGCAGTTCTTCCATGATCCTACCCTGATCCTTCGACCAAACCGCGCGTTTTCAATAAATCCCTGTGGCACCTGCACCTCCACATGGTCCAGAATCAAGTCCTTGGTCGGGCCCCTGGGTCATGGATCAAATGATCAGTCGTTAGTCAAGGATCACTGTCAACTGATCCACGACAACATGCAGGACTACGTATGATATTGTGTCAAGGATCCTAAGGAAAAGCATGAAAAAGCAGTGTGCTGAAGAATGCAACATTTATTTCTGAAATCTGAGCATAGTGATTCTAAGGTGGCAAATGTTTGTATAAATGGGGTGACAATTGATCCTCTGGTTGGGGCTGTGGCACAACAGATCCAGATTCTGATTCTGGTAGAATCGTTCATGGATGTAGTGCAACTCATCACTGCAACATGCAGCCTCCGTTAAAGCAAATTGGTTGCAACATCGATTTGCAAGGAAATAGAAGCAGGAAGGGTACGTATGTGCGCAGTGTGCCCTACTAGCGAACTCCCCTGTTACATCAGTTCTGCATTGTCAAGCAGGATGCCACTGAACAATACAAGCACTCTCATTCTTGCCGAAGATCAACCAGCTGTTTCACCAGCTGCAGGGAACGCTTCTTCGCAGGAGGGCTTGTGACCTGCCAGATTCTCAGTCATTCCATGCTGGACCTTGCCTTACTTCGTCACGACAACGTCCAGTTTGTGTTTGCTATGGCCATCACAAAACCCAAGGGCGCCCGACCCATACATCTGCGTCATCCTTTCCATGGTCAGTGAGTTTAGGTTGCCAGAGTGCACAACTGAGATCAAATACCACAAGTGGCATCTTGAGGATTGGTCAAGCATGGTCTAAATCCCCACACCTTGGTATTTCAGACTTTCAGCGATGTTCCGACGTTCAATTATGCCTTTCAACCATTCCAACTCCAACCTCCCATCCCGTGTTCATCCGCCAAGTCCATCCACCTCACGGTGTCTGCGTTCCATGGCAAAGAAAAGCATCTCGAGCCTCAGCTAATCTTGTGGCTCAATGCCGGCTGAGAGATTGGTCAGTTTGGACCTGAGACTATGCAATGTATTTGGAGATGCCAGAGTCATGCAGAATCAACCTCTTCTTTCTTGTTTTTGCGGAGTTATATGACTTCTGCTTGCAACATCATCAACATATTCCAAGGCAGCACAGCTCTGACCTTTGGTGGAAGGTGCAGTATATGGTTGAAGTGGCTCAATGCAAACCCCTTGGCCAATACATAACGATAAAGTGGAGTCCAAAACTCAAGGCATCTATTTGAATTTGGACTTGTTGCAAAATGGGGGACCAGCCGCCAATGCTGGCTTGAATATGCCTAATTTAACTGCTAAGTGACTTGCACTGAGATAGGGCCAAAAATGGACCATATAATAAGCACATCAAAACACACTTGCAAGCACCACGCTTTCCATGACAGCCCAGCCTCCTCCCGCTCGACCAGTTATACAGTAGTTATACGTAAAATGAAAGTCACCAAGTGGCTGGGAGAGGGCTGCACTTTGTGCGCCCTTCACAGCTGAATCTTTGTTCCATTCCTGAACGCCAGGGTGCGCTTTGCATGCCCAGCGTTCATGTGCGTTCATGCGACACTTATGTTTCTTTAACGGACAGACCTGCCGAGACACTGTTTTGTGCGGGTGCGGTCCCACACTTCCTCAAACCATGGTGCCCTCTACAACAAGAAACACAACAAAGACAAGTTCTTGACCACAATTGGCTGGTGGAGTCTTCAACATCTTCAACATTCTACGACAATAGCTCCCAGGCAACCAGGCAAAGAGTGTCACCAAAAACGGGGGTTCATGCTGTACGCTTCTCCTCTTCAAGCCCCGTACGTCGTACGTGGGGGCAAAGTGGGGGGAGCGGGATTTTTCAGGAAAGGTTTCCAAACTTCCACCGAAGCTGCGTTGGCTTCTAGACAGCGCACGGCCAAGGATAAGCCAGTAGCACAAAGCTGGATGCGAAACCTGCACCGAGCGTCGAGAAACCACGGGCGCGTCACTCCTCGTCTCGGTGCAGACCGGTCCAACCGGGTCGCATGGATGCGACAAAGCTTGGCTTGGGATCGCTCCAGGCATGAGTCTTGTCTTGACGTTACGGGATGCAGCATTCCTAGAGTAGTAGCCATAACTCTTACAAACATGTACTTCACCGCGAGTCTTGACCTACCTCCAAAATACTTTGGAAGCTTCAGGTCGCGCAAGCGGCGACCCAAACCTGACCGGGATGTGTGTTTGAAACCTGGAAACGCCAAGAGACAACACCTGTCACAGGAGATGATATTTCGGTGAACAAATCACCAGTAGAGGGCCCACAACTTGCAGCATTTTGCAACGAACCCTTGCTGAAACAAAGGTGCTTTGCATCAGCTGAGCTCGGCACGGCTGCAACTTTAGGCTCAGCTCGGAGGCAGCGAAGCCAGTCCTCAAAAAAGAGACCATGCTGACCATGCTCAAGCTGTGGATGAATACCTGCGCCTCATGTTGGAGCCCTTTCCTGCTGGAAGGTTTCCTGCTGGTCATGCTGGACATGTTGACTGTGTTGGGGCCCAGGGCCCGGGACCCACATTGCGGTGCGTCCTTGGTGGTCAGCCCTGCGAACGGTGAAGGTCGGCATCGGCGATCTTTGGATTGAACGGTGAACGACGATCGCGGATTGAACGGCGGGGGCGTCGCTGCTATAGTAACAAGGACACTACTAGTAGTAATGCCCTTGTTACTAGTAGCGACGCCCTTGTTACTAGCTATAGCTGGATACTGCCATCTGCATTCCAACATTCATCTGATCATACCATGTCTGATTGATCCTGATTACACCTTCTTGGCCGTTGCAACTGCTTCACACCTGCACCTCTCTCCCCTGCAAACAACCATAAGCAAGAGAGTCACACACACACACACACACACCAAGCACCAGGTGTAGCACAGCTGACCCTGCAAGCACCAAAGGAAAGCCAGTGGGCAAATCTGACGTCCGCATAGATACACCATAGTTCTAAAAATCACACTCAAATACACCTGGCTCATCTCTACGACACCTAGCTCTAGGTCCAACCTTTGGGGGTGGTCTTGCCATGTCTTGCCGTCAATCTCTATGTTGGTGATGATCATGTCATTGGGATCCATATGGTCTATGTCTATATCTCTACGTCTTTCTCTTTATGTTCTTTACCTTATGTACTCTCATGTACTCTCAACATGTCATAGCAAACAGCTCTGAATCCACAGCTAGTGACTAGTGGCCCTAGTTCCACATGCCTGCCACACATTGAGTCAAGAAAAAAATCCCACCTACCACTCAGCCTCATGCAAACCATTTTGGACCCTCCATCTTGCCCGGTGCAAATCCACTGGTGATCTTCGCCCACATTGACTCAAACACATCCTTCACTTCGGTATCGACCAGTGGCAGTAGGAGCGGCAAGGGCAGCACCACCAGCCGTGAGATCAAACCTTCGGACCTTGGGACTCGCGTCGTGGCGAGACCGGTCGCACGGTGGTGCGAGACCCGGTTCACACATCGAGACCACATCCCCAAGTCTGGTGGGTAACTGCCAGTCTGGTGACGGGGACTGGGACAGCTGTTCCAAGTGGGGTCAATGCATCAGTTGAACCAGTCTTTAAAAATTTAGTAACGCAGCTGCTTGAGCCAAACGGGAGCTTCTTCTAGCTTGAAGCTTGGCCGTGCAATATATAACTCGTGAAAACCGGGTGAAAGGCCGTGAAACGCCTGTCGTTACAGTAGGTCTGGAAGTTGGGAGGTGAAATGTGTCCTTGAGACCTGCCCTGCCGGGAGGTCCTATAGTGCGATGTGGGTGACCGAACTGCTCACATCCTGGATAGACCTAACGCATCAGGTTGGTTCAACCTGTCCTCTATGGACTTGTCACCTAACTGCTCACATCCAAGTGGCTGTATGTTGACATTGATGATGCCTCAATGCTGCCGCCATTGAAGACCACTCGCCCGAAACATGCCGATGTCCCATGTTGTGGTAAAAAGGAAGGTAAGGCTCCACGAAGGTCTGAGGAAGTAGATTGATAAGTACTTGGACATGACGTAACGTATACACATCCACAGCTACAGTCAAGAATGGTTCAAGGGCGGGATGTGTTGGACTCTCTGACTTAAGAAGCACCCACGTATCAGCTGGTAGGTCTTTTCTCTATCCCTTCGACTTGCGAGTAAGCTGGATACGCGAACCAAACTGCATGGCACCGGACCGATCCGAACCGAAAAAAAACGTGCATCCCAAGGCATCAAGCCAAGGATCAAAAGCGAATGGAACGTGCAGAAAATCCCACAGCCAGTCTTGCAGGGCCCATGCCCAAATAACCTCAGTTGAAGTGCAATGTGGGTGACATGTGGATGTCTTCGTTGCAGAAGTGACTCTGAAGGAGAAAGTGGTGGGCTTGGTTGATCGTGCGTGTCTCATAGTATATTTAGTCCCGGAAAAGATGATGACGAGGATGAGTTAGAATCAAGTATTTGGGTGAAGGTGAGTTGCGTGAAGTAGGGAGCTACATGAAGTCGACCAGCTGGCTACGAATCCAATCGCACCAGGCCACGGCACAATTGAAGGGCACATTGTCAAGTACTGAGTTGAACCCGCCGAGGAGGGTGCCCATAGCTGTGATAATAAATTAACTTGGTAGGGAATTCCGGCCCAAAACTTTTGCTCATGCAAAATCAACTCCAGCTATATAGCTAGCTTTCGCGATAAGACAATGTCGGAACATGCATGTACTGCAACACTTACCTCTGCAAGACAACGCCGACAGGCTTGACTATCAAGTTCATGCTTTTCGAGTAAATTAACTGAGTGACAAGTGATTCCTCGCGATGTCGGGCATTGCGCCAGGATGGTATCTTCCGTTTTTTTCTTGCGGGCTGTCTGAAGCCTCCCGTGCAGGGGCTGGAGTGTTGTGTCCCAAGCCACGTTGCAAGCCCAGTTGGCCGGCCAATGCCGCAGCCTCCAGTGTCAGTGCCACCAGGGCGATCAGGAGCGACAGCCTCGCGAAGGAATTGTACCCTCTGGGCTCTTGGGAGCTACGCGAGGAACATCGATGGAAACCGCTGATCTGGCCTGGCTGGGAAACATCCTGACCTAAGGCCCGAATATCAGTTTATCAATTGTGGCCTTGCTACCCCTTGGCGGAGTTCATCCCCCGCCTTAGGCATCGCGTCACCAGGAGCGCCACGGCCAATGCGCCTATGGCGCCTCAGGCAACTGTGGAGGACAATGATGAGGTGAAAATATTCCCAAAGGTTTCTCAAGAAGTGGCAAGTTTCACATTCTCAGTGCCGAATGTACAGTAATTGTGGCATTGAAATTGGACATGGTTACAGCCAATGGTTCACACATTCACACACTCAGTGCAAAATGGCTGGAATCCATGATGTTCTCTGATGTTCTCTGCCTGGCTTGGCTCGACAGCACATACCCCCATCTTAAGATCAATTAAGGACATTTTCCTGGCAACTGGGTCAAAAGCTCACCCGCTCCGGTGAAGGAACTTGTACATTCTTTGGTCAATAAACTCCGACGATACCGATAACAGCCTCTGGAGGCACAAAGTGATAAGTCATAGAGGCTTCAAAGTCTGCTCTAAACATCTCTAAACACCCTGCGGGTTCCCCCTGGAAGGGAAAGCTTCATATCTACGCTGGTGTTGGACACATCGGCGGGTCGGTGACCTTTCGCAAAAACCGGAAAAACCGCCTACTCGTCGCTGACCGCAACAACCTTCTGCGCTGAACCCGCCTGCCATCCACTGCTCAATGGCCACAGGATTCATCCTTTCCATTCGCCTCGGCGACCGGTCACCGAGGAAGTCCAGTCGGTGCAGAGGAAGCGGGTGCGAAGTCGGTCCAAAGGTCGAAGAGCCACAGGTTTTGGCAGATGTTTTGACATCTCCACAGGAGAAAAGATCCAAGTGCAACTCTGAGTTCGGCCCAAGTCCGGCAGGTGAAGCTGGCGCGTCGGGATGGAGGACGCATTTCAACTCCCAAGACATCAAGACCTACAGTATGTTTCGCAGGTTCTTCAAGGCCTTTCACCCTGTTTTCACGTCCTTTTCACAGCTTTTGTGGCCTTTTCAGGAGCCAGCTTGCGCTGGTCATGGCCTGGTGCGTTACTGGCGCGCACCGGTTAAACTCGTGCGTTGACTGTCGGGCCCATGAGGTGGCCATGCGATTCAAACACTGAGAAACAACCCTGTTGTGGATGAGAGAAGAAGTCAAAGAGCTTAACTACTGAACTACTGTTGCCTCTCTCTCTCTCTATATAGTCTCTCACTCTCTAACACAGTGAAGCGCTGAGAGAAAGCCAACTCGTCTGAAACCGTCATGAAGGTTAGAGGTAGTGTTTCCGCTTCCGCTCGCTTCTGTTCAGTTAGTTGGTGTGACAGCCAACTCGGCTTGTCAAGTATGTCCAGCGGCAACTACTCAAACTTTCCGTGTCCCATGAAATGTCCCTACATTTGGGCCCCTACTAGCAATAGCCCTGTACATCCCTGTACCTTCGTGGGGCTGTTGCTTCGAGGTCGTTCAGCGACCTTCCCGGACCATCAACCATCGCCCGTTTCGTGGCCGGGCAACTCACCCTCCGCCATTCGGCCAGCTCCCAAACGGCCTGGTTGGGACATGAAAGCCATGGAGGACGCAGCAAAAGTGGTCTTGGAATTGTAGGGCTTGAGTGGCGTGCTCCTCAAAGAAGGGCGTCCTCCCCCTTGAACCCCTCTAAACATCTATACAGCAGGTATGGAGCAATCACGGGAGTGACATGGGTTCTTGAAACATCTGCAGCTCGACCGACCTGATGGTGGAACTTACATGAATTCATACTATATGACAACTTCTATGATGATCATGTTTGGTCCCCCACTTTCAGCCAAATCCACTTGGATAGCCCCGGCCACCTACAGCCTTCATCAGCCTTCTGTGTCTCCAGTGACTCCAGATCATGTAGCACTCAAGCATGCTGGGGCGCAAACACGATCGCCTGCGTCTTCTGGCGATCTCAGGTCATCGCGGAGCGAAGGCCCGGCGGCGATCGCCAGCGATGTTTTTGAAACGCTTTTGTGATAAGCCGGTCTGTTTGTGACGGTCTGCCCGGGAAATGGTTCCGGAGTCCGTACGTTCAGCTGATGTTGTTGTTGTGGGGGTAATATAAAGTTAAAGAAGCCCAACACTGGGACTGTGAAGGGCTTTCAGCTGAAGGGCCTTAACTATCCTTAACTGCGGATAAGTGATCTCACGAGTTTGAATGAGTTGGAAATGGGATACTGTAACCCGGAAAACCCTAAGAAATGCGACTGGTGCTGGTCTGCCCTGGAACTCCAATTTTGGCAAATTGTCATTCATGCTGCTGGTTCACGGTTCTTCGGCTTCCTGGCTTGATTCTGGCTGGGATCAGCAGCACGCGAAGCAAGCATCCAGTGGCTCAGCTCCACCAGTGATGTTTGGAACCTTGGGTTGGCTCTCTAGATTTGCTTGGTTCACCTCCCTCCCTCCCTCCCTCCCTCCCTCCCTCCCTCACTCACTCACTCTCTATCTCTCTCTTTCTCTCTTTCTTACACTTCCAGAAAAACAAACAAATTCTCGCAAACAATGCACAACGCATCAGCTGCCAAACAAACATGTTGTTCAACACTTTGCCGGACTTTGCAGGCCAGAAGAACATGACTGAGAGACCAAAACATGCACGAATACATACTCAAACATACTGCAATGTACAGCAACATAGCAACTTCAGGATTTCACTTTGAGGTCAGTAGTGGGCCTGGCTCCACATCTCGCAGCCTTCTTCCTGAAAGGATCTATGGGGGCACGATGCCGTTCTCTTCAACCAACCAAATAAGATTTCCCTTGTGAACCGGTTGTGCCAGTGGCTCACGAGAAGGTTGCTTCTCTTGCTTCAAGGGATCAATGGCTCTACCCCTTTCCAAGTCCTCAAAGTGGCTCCATCTACGTCTCGGCGACCCTTTTTGGGAGATCGCTCCAGTCGACCAGTCCGGGTCGCATCGAACGAAAAGGGATGAGCACGTCGGCCATCCGGTCTTAGCCTGAAGCCATGGAAATACACCTCCATATCTTATCTATGTCTTATCTACCAGGTCTACCAAGCAAAGGCTGTCGTTGGTGGCATCATGCGACCTACAGTCCACATGGCACCACATGGTTCTTGGAAACATTGTAGAATGGGGAGCCTGCCGGCCTCATAAGCATATTAAATGCAACAATGCTTCTGGCCAAGGGTCAGGCAACTGCCTGAGATTCATTTTGGCACCAGGCTCGTGTGAAACGTGGTGAAAGACGTGAGACAGAGCCGCGGAACCATTCGTCTGGGCATTGTCACCGTAGATCCTCCAAGCATCTCAAGTACAACTGCAAACTCTTGAGCCGTTCCCTGGCTGAGCCGTGTACTGCTCCCGAACTATGGGCCAGTCCGACCAGTCCTATGTAAAGCCTGTGGGTGGGTTCTTTTGGGCATGGCCCTCGGCGGCTCTTTTTCATGGCACTCCACGGCTCTCATCGTTGTTTGCCCAAAGAATCGGTGAAAAGCATGTTTTTTTACGTTTCCAATGAATATCTGCGCACCTTCATCACAATCGTGTAAGCAACAAAGAATCTGTGCCTGTCCCAGAAACATCCTTGGGCACGCCCCGTCGCCGGCTCATCTTCAGCTGGCTTTTCTAGGCGGTTCTCCTGGAAAAGGTGACAGCACACTTTTGGGCAAAGGTATGCAAAGGTCATCAAAGGGCTTCATAGACCTTCCCACTCACGCGCCTAGGCGTGTCCGAAGAGCCTTCCTTGGTTCGACTCGAAAAGGCACAGCTCAAAGGCATACCCGGCATACCCGACTTCGCGGAGAAACACGACAGGTTTGAAAGGTCGAGCACTTTACAGCCAGGACAGAACCGGTTGAAGTCGAGGTGCCATTCTCATTTGCTTCATCCGCTTGAGCTCCAGCTGCTTCTCTTGCCGAGCCTGCAGCTTGGAAAATTGAGACCTGGCCCTTCAAAAACGTGAAATGGCAAACCAGGGTGAAAGGGCAAACGCATCAAAGAGATTCAATCAGAGTCTGTGGTCGTGACAGTCTTAACCCGTGTCTCCTGTCCCCCCTGGCCCTCCCCCAACCCATCCGCTCGTCGTGACCCCCGAGCGCCTGCAGGATCTGCAAGGTGCGAGCCTTAGATCCGATCGATGAATCTACAGATTGATCTGAAAAGATCTGACAAGTATCCAATGTTTCCATTCAACTTAGACAGTTACATGGTGGTTTACATTAATCACATATACAACACCTTCAAAGCATCCTAATGTAGGACAATGTTTCATAGCAATTGGATTGAGAGGACCCACATGTCCCACGTCGAATGGTGGCAAACTCTGCTACACTGCCTGACTGGCCTGGTCTATGAGGTGTCGTCTACATCATCCACTTTCACCATGCCAGCTCACCTGAGCCTGGCTCGAACCCATGTATGTTGGGCCGCTTTTCGACGAGCACCGAACATCCATTCCGTTGGTCAGAGGGAAAAACACCTGGGGTGTCAATGGCTGGGTGCATCCAAATCACTCCAGTTGGTCTATATACGTCCCCCTTGGTCCTATGTACTACGTGCCTCTTTTTCCTTCCTGGTTTTTGTGACGTCCTGTTCTGTCCAGCGGCGTTACTCTTCTCCACGTCCCGCAACGCTTTCAGCTGCTTCTCATTCTCTAAGAGCTGCCTTCCCGCTCGCAGCGAATCAGAGATGACGTTTCATGAATGGGACTTGGACACGTGATGCTATATACAGTAAGCCCATTAACCCCCACTTCTTTTCAATAAATGATCAATATATAATATAATATACACATTTGTCCAGCGCAGCTGAGGCCAATCCTTTTTTGCGTCTTGAAAGCCAATTGAGCAGGTCCCAGCTTCAAGCGTTGATTGAAGCCTCCTGGAATCTGATCTTCCTTGATTGAAGCGTTTTGAGAACTACAATTTTTTGGTTTTGGATTTTCTTGAAAAAAAACTCCGTCCAGTCCGTCGACTGGGAGGAGTTAGGAGTTGGGCCCTTGGGTCCGGAGAAGTTGCAGCGCACGCACAGACCGGGCCGATTGCATTGCAACTGCCGAGGTGTGCGCACACGCGAATTTTTTTTAAAGGCTGATTGGCGCTTGGAAAGCGCTGATGGGTCATGTTGAGAGGTCGGAAAGTCTCAAAAGGCTGTGCAAAGGGCTCACATTGGGGCTAAGCCTCCATCTCAAACCTGGCGGCGCTTGGAAAGGGCGGAGCGATGCAAAATTCCACACGACGAACTCCGCTGAGAAACAGCATCAAAAGGAGACTGTTCCTACATGTTTGTACAGGGACACATAGCTGTATATAGCTGTATAGTAGCTCCCACGTGCATCGTGCATCTGATCCCTGCTCCGTTTCGCCCAGCATAGGCCTCTTTGGCATGGCACGGTTCCAGCTGAGTTCCTCTGGGTTCACCTCGTGCACGCCATCTACGGCCAGGATCTGACAAAGGCCTCGCTCGCTCGGGGCAGCCAGCTCCACCAGCTCATCTTCCTTGGTGCCTTGGTGCCAGAGCGCACCCCACGAGGCTCGGGAACAAAAAGGATGAACAAAGCAATTCCTGGTCATTCCTGGTTGGTTGAACTGAGGGGGCTGCATCTCAAATCCAAGCTATCATCTCCACACATTGTGGGCGGTTCACTCTAAGGCTCCGGAGGTTCACTCGTTGAGGCTCCGGCCTGGGCGTCGCCAAAGGATCCGATAATGTCGGAAGATAATGTCCTCGTCGCCCGAATCCAAAGGAGTCAAGGACGACCTCAAAATCCAATCCCGTGGCCATGAGTGAACACCATGAACACTACGTGGCCATGGCCAGGAGCTGCACAAGAATCCAAATGAACGCAAGAATTCCATGGTGTTTGGCATGGTCTATGTTGGCCTCCACTGTGCTAAAAGAGTCTAGTTTTGCACCTGCAGTACCTCGGTTGAGAATAACGTAGACCATGTTCAGGAGGCCCGTAGAGGTATGTGACATGGTCCATGTTAGCCTCCACTGGGCTATGTTGACCTCTACCGGTGCGGTCTATGTTAGCCTGCGTTCAGTTGAAAGTCAGATTGCAGTTGGTCCATGTTAGTGTCAAAATCGATCTTAGACGTCCATATTAGTGAGTGTCCAGAAATTGCAAAAAAAAACGCTAATACCGTTTCTCAGGAAGTCACCGTTTCCAGTGGTCCATGTTAAAGCGCACTTGAAATTGAGTTCTGGTCTATGTTGTTTTTCCCGGAGTCTGTGGACCTTCTTGGGAATGTTTTGGATACTGAGGTATTCAAGATCTGCACTGCAAGAGGTGGGGTCTCCCGTCATCCAAACTTAATGCCTTCCAGCTGACCATCGAACTCGATAAACCTTCTTGGGCAAGGGTGGAAGGCCACCCACCACGCAATACCTGTGGCTCCCATGGTAGCCCGACTCGGTTGGAAGCAACCTCGGTCGGCAGGTCAAAACCGGCAGACGCAAAATGGATACACAGTAGCTGTTTGCTACTAGTGGCGATGACCTCCAGCCTAATAGCGATGGCCTCCACCTAATAGCGTCCAAAGACTACTAGTAGCTTCTTGTAAACACGACTGGCTGCAACAACAAACTTGATCTTCCAAGCAACACGACTGGCTGCATCGACTGAGTCTCTGGTGCACCTTGGTCTTTCCCTTTTCGGACGTCTTGGAGGCAAAAGCATACCTCAAAATGGCGATCCGGGCACGAGGCAGATCCGGCAGGAGGCAACGGCCACGAGGCAACGACAAAAAGCGGAAGGTTTCAGTCAGTCTTTGGGGTTAACACGACACCACTCGCCTTTTGGAGTTGTCCCAATCGATGCCCTACTTGCTACTTCGAACACAGTGCAAGCAGGACGTCGACGCATAAGACATCTATAGATCCCCCTTGTGGAGGTCTCTGGGATCCGTGACTTCATTTTATAAGGAACAATCATTTATAAAATGGAAACCCACATGCTGCTGCTTTATAAAATGAGAACCCGACCTTTTTATATAATAGTGACCAGGATTCAGAGAGCAAAAAAATAAAATTTCAGAGGCACCTTTTGTCTGTTTCTATGTTAAAAAAGAATCACTGTTTATAAAATGTACACAGGAGCCAAACCGACCTTCTTATGAAATAGTTTGCCGCAAGAAGTAGGCTTTTTTGTTGAAATTCCGATTTTCGGAAGCACAGTGATCTTTATAAAATGACCCCCCATAAAAGTCATTTTATAGGTTACTAAGATCCCCATTTCATAAGGACCTGTGCAAGGGGGATATCTATAGGTATGTAGGCCAGGGAAGTGGCCAGGGACAATTGGGAATTAAAGCTTTCAGAAACTTGAACCGTGTGTCCAAAGATATAATATGTGTATATATATATAGTTAATTAAGGCCTGGTTGCACTGCCCGGCAGCAGCGCCGTACCACGTACAGGGCCGCATTTTTTGGCGAAAAGGCTTCGGAGCTTTGCAAGAATGTCATCATTCCTCAGCGCACTGGGCAAACAATGCGTTTGCGGCAAGCCAACCTGACAGAGTGTTTAATGAAATCGCATCAACTGCTATGCTTTCAATACTTCGTGGGTTCTTGGCTTCAGGGATTCCACCTCCGCTGGGGATGGTTCCACGGAAGCCACCAAACCGCTTGATTGATCACTCTTTGAGACCGCTTGTGCGCACGCCGAAGGACGTGTTTGACCCCATTTCGGCCGTGAATGTGCCAAGGCTCAAGGCCTTGCCCAGAAGCTTCTCAATCAAACTGCTAGAGCCGTTCGATCGAGCCTCAAATGTGGTGATCTCTCTCTCTCTCTCCATAACGCCCTCCGCATGAGCGATCGGATGCCATAGGCTACGGCCTGAGCTGGTCCCCGAGAGTGAACAGGTCAAGCCAGCTGCATTTTAGCAGGAAAAAGGGAAAAAGGGCAACCTCATGGAATTTGACACCCCTCCAGTTGGGGATCTTTGCAGGGGGAGTCACTTCAAAGGTTTCGGCAAAAAATGCACGCACACACACACACACCTCTTTAGCCGGCGAGATGGAGATGTGTGATGATCTTTGAATCCTGGTGCCTGGTTCGAAAGAGATTTAGTCTTAGAGTCTTGGGGCCTAGGGCGGTAATGCGGAATGAACGGTCAACATATTATTCTGATTCTGATGGACATCAATTCTCCGACCAGGTGCTCGGACCTTCCCCTAACCCACTTTTTGCACCCCAGGCTGCCCTTTTGCGCCTCATCATTCATTACGATTCCATGCGAGATTGTACTCCCAACGTCTTGCATGCAAAGAACATGTCTCGGTTCGAGGCTTTTTCTTGCATACCCTCGCTGTTGCGGACAGACTTCGCCCAAATTCGCCTCTCCACCCGTCTCCGATGCCCGAAAATGCCAGAACACTGCCGAGGTTTTTTCCATGAGATCCCATGCAGGGCCATCAGGCCGATGCCTCTTGGTTTCGGCGAACACATTCGTCGGCCCCATCCAACCCGATGCCAAAGACACATCCTTCAAGACAGGTCCCCTGCTCTTCTCGCCCACCGGGACTTCCTCGCGGCTTCCACTGGAAGACTAAACCCGGGAAAAAGACTAGACCTTCCCCGCTGTACCAAGCTGGGCAACAATGTTTGCAAAGGTTTGCAATTTGACAATGCCTGCACACAGAAGCGACAGGGTGCAGCTGCTGAAGCAAGTCCAAACATTCACCTTGGAGTTGCTTCATTGTTTCACTTCTGTGATCCTTGCCATAACCTTGCCCCAAGAACCAGTCTCCAAAAAAACAAATAAACAACATATATTATATATATATATCACTCGTGAGTTGCTGGCGGCTCCCCTCTCTTTATCTCTCTCATTCTCTCTCACATTTGTCTCTCTCCCTCTCCCTCTCTCTCACGCGTCTGCACTTCTTGAACTACTGTTCCTCACCATCCGAACCATGGTTCCTCACCCTGGTCCTCGTCCTGCTGTGGTATCTGGTATCCATCCGGCCAGTTGAGACATGTCATGGCACCACGAAGGTTCCGTCGGGTTCCTTCGCCGCACCCGGTGGCCAAAATGGCCACCGTTGGCCCCGTCACCCAAGCAAAAACAGCTGCAGTATCAACCGAACACATGCCTCACAACATGAGAGGTTTGTGAACCATGAACCTCCAATCTGTACGGTGTCCTAGTTAGGTACCTGCTTCATGATGAGGCTCTGGTTAAGACCCGCAGCTGAACAGGATCGCCTTGACCAACAAGCACTGGGGGACACGTTTGGCCCACTAGAAGACCAGTGACCCACTATAGAAGACCAGTGACCAAAATGGTCAAAATAAGACTCACTGGTCCATACTGGTCCTCAAGGTGACCAAACCGATTGTCACACCGCTGCGGGTTGGGACACCGAAGCTGGACACACACGCCGACGAGTCGGCCTCTTCTCCCTCCGAAGCTGTTCGAGCTCGTCCGACTCTGCAGTGGCTCGCTTGAAGATCCTTGAAGCCACAGGGCCACGAAGCCACGCTTGTCGTGCGTTGGGTTTTTGATCGAAACGGGTCGGGTCATGCAAGACACGCTTGGAAGAAGCAAACGGCCAGTGTCACAAGCAGGACATCCTTGCGACATGGAGGGTGCGTATTTATACATATATATATATATATCCTGGTTTAGCCTGTCAACCCTCTATGACTCAGCTGAAGGGATCGAAAGTCCAAGTTTGGGATTCAGAAAACAAACATCAATGAACTGTTGACTTCCAAGAGAAGATCTGATGACCTCTCCTCCAGGAGCCCCTAGGCCCTAGTAGCGTTCTTGCTCCTAGTTGCAATGCCCGGTTCCTGGGCCCCAAACAAGTCCCCCAACGTCCCCCCCACGAGGGACGCAACGCTCCAGGACGCGCCCCGCTGCCCCCAACTGGCGCCCAAGGCTCCGGTGGTGTGCATCGCGGCTCTTGGCCGCGGTGCTCTTCGCCCTGTGCCGCGAAGCGCCGCGAAGAACGGGAGCCGCATGGCAAGTGATGTGAGATCAATGACACCGCCAAGTCTTATCACTTCTACTTCTACCACCACCACCACTACCACACTAACACTATATATCACTACCACACTTGCCATCAAACAAAGTCAATCGGGCCAACTGGGTTACACATGGAGTGCAACCCCTCAATACAGTAAACGCATAGACATCACATAATCAATATCAATGTCCTTTCAACTCTCACTTGACCGTGGATTCTGACGAGGTGGTGTAAAAATGACTCGTTGAATCCTGGCTTTCCAAGTTTCCAGTGTTGGATGCTACAATGCATACTTGAGAGAGGAGGGGGTGAACGAAAGGTAGCAAGCAATCACAAGTAACCTGGTAGAAGTCCAGGACGGCGTCCCCCCCTCCATGTCGAACAGAATCCTCTCTTACAGGACCAAACTCAATGCAAAGCACCAAGTCCTGAGTGTGATACATTATTGCTAAAGCAAGGAGAACTGAGGTAGTTCAGGCGACTTTGCGTGATCAAAGGAACACCAATCAGCAGATGTCTTTTTCGAATCAGCACTGTGAAGCCTACACAGCTTGAAACCATTGATATTTACGGGGTTTTGTGCCAGGAAGGCGCACAAAACCATGTAAATACCGTCGTGTTTTTGCCATGTTGAAGCCTCCAAAAGCAAACAAAAAACCTTTCTGACACAATCTTTCCTGTTTTTGGTCATTGTTCGACCATTCGTGAAGCCTAGACACCTCAAGAACCATCGGTTTGTATGAGTTTTTTTCCAAACAGCCACATATATATACATATATATTATTGCGTGGTTTGAGGCCACTCTTGAAGACTGGAGGAGCTGAAAACACTGGTCCTTACGGTGTTTCTAGGCGTTGACAAAAAGGCGCGCCAGGGTGGAGTTGAAAGGGGGGGCCACAAAACTGAAATGTCGGAGGCGATTTCTCAGTGAGACAGGCCTCCACTCTGGTTATAATTCATGTTTGCATAGGGGTTGGAATTAAGTGGGTACCTCGGGGGTAGCGATTTTATAGCGCTAAAATGCTGGGACCAACCCCCCTCCAATGAGGGTCACTTTTTGACCCTATAAAATTGAGGATAACATAGGAAAAGAGTTCAAAAACAAAGATTCAGCTCTATAGAATTGAGGGCCATCAGTCTGTCAAAAGCTGTAGAAAGTTGTGAATATTGATGGTTTTTGTCTATAAAAATGCAGGTCCCAAGGTACTCCTGAACAGGTGTGCTTGAGTTGTAGTAAGAACCTGGTTCTCTATAGAATCAAGGTACATGGGTCTCAAAAAAAATATAGTAAGAACCTGGTTCTCTATAGAATCAAGGTACAGGGGTCTCAAAAAAAACATTAAAATGCAACTTTCTTGGAAGGCATTGATTTGCCAGTTGGTAGGATGCATTAGGATTTTCCAAAGTGTTTCATATAAAGCGTTCACTTGCTAGAATGCTCCAAATTTGCTAGCGTCATCCTGACTCATCCAAGATTATCCAAGAACCCATTCCCCAGGGTTCGTTTGAGCAATCCCAATTGCGTACTCTCGGAATCAGGCGAGGTTTGAACGGGATGCATTGAAAAAACATCAGTCTCTATAGAATTGCAGTTCCTAACATGCAAAACCATTCTCTATAGAATCAGTATGCCGCATGCCTGAGACATCCAGAATCCCTTCGCTATACTTATAAGCCCCTATAGAATCAAACTTGTAAAAAACAACAATTCTCTATAAAATCGAGGATCTTGAAGGACAGGACTTTACAACCTCCATATGAGCCAAGAAAAAGTGGCTAAAAAAATCGTCTTATCGGGGTCCCAACCCCCGCGATTCTGTAGAAGAAATTCCATCCCCTATATGTTTGCTAAAGAAAAAAGAAAACTAAGTGGTAACTTAACCGATACCTTTCGTGATATCTGTTATCTAGGAAGCCTGCGCTGGCTTGACAAACTCCCACCCCCAATGATCGAAACTGCCTCCGATGCTCCACTAGCTGTCGCACGCGGTTCTCCTGCAAAGTCCACTGTTTTCAGAAAAAAGAGGAGGTCCGTCAACGAACGGATGGTCAACTGGCCTACTGTTGCTCTTGCGGTCGAATGTTTTTTCCACAAAACCTAAACTCAGGGTCCCAAAGGGGACTCAACTTGAGCGGAGATGAAATGGTCTTAAATAGCTGCACAACATTGTTGGGAAAGGCTCTCCTTCCTTTATCCTGACTCACTGAGACAGCTTCATGGTGTCGGTTTCAGCACTTGTTCAATTGGTTCCAACATGTTCCAACTGTTCATAGATCTCCGGAATCACCATGAATCACTGAACACCTCATCTCACACCCAAGCTCGCTTGGGGCGAGCTTGCGGGGCGCGATCTCCGGAAGTCTCTCCTCGGAGATACGTTGATCTTCCGCCACGAGGTCCACGGCGAAGGGGCTCTTATGCAGCCTCCTACGGGCCGGTCGCTTCGCTCGCTCTCGGGGCTCCGGCTCCGGCTCGGGGCCGGCTCGCCCGAGGAGTCAATGCGGCCTGGGGGGGACGAAGAAGTCATGCGTCTTCATAATGCCCGTCCTGATTTAGCATGGAAAAACGGTTGGATCCTGTGGCAGCCTTGGACATCAACGTGAAGTTTGGCCGCCTAGACTCTCAAGACGTGGACCCTTTGAAATCCTGCAGATCCCGAGATTTAGAACATGGAGGAATGGAACCTCTGTTTCTATAGACAGCTCTTGATCGACAGTTGCAAGCTTTGGCCAATCCACAGAAACCTCCCATCAATTGCAGAACCCAACGAGGCAGCAACCCCTTCATGGACCTGCTTCCTTGCTGTTCCCAAGTTAGAGGAAATCTGTAAACGTTGGAGGAGTCGCGTGTTTAGCTTTAACATGTGTTTGTTGATTTAATCTCTCAAATAGGCCTTGACCACTGACTGACCACCATGATACGGGTTACAAAATGTTACAAAAGTGCTGGTTTGGTCGACCTTGCCACGTCATGCTGCGCAAAAAGACTGTTGACACAGGCGTGTTAGGAATTGTCATTGTTTGGTCAAGAAATTGACTAACCAGCAGCATTGTCCACAGGCTGCAGGTCACAATATGGCCACATGCCAAGTTACTATTTTATACTGACATATACTGACTGTCTTTGGCATAGCAACGTTTCAATGGGCCATTTGGTTGTTCATATAAGTGAGGAGCTCATTTTCGGAGTCGTAAATCTTACCGTATGCCCATCTGCTGGTCCAGCGCCTTGCCCCGAAACCCATGCCCCAGCGGCACGCCCGATCTCCTGGCCCAGCGCTCGTCTCGTTCACGCTGCGAGGCTAACAAGCGGTCCAGGTAGACACGCCTGGCGAACCCGGGGGGTGCAATACAGCTAGCTGGCTGGAGAGTCTGCGCGACTGCGCGCGAAGGATGGGCGTGTTTGGCACGTGCATGGTGGCGACAAGGAGAAAGTCTTACACAATTGCCAGGGTCAAACAGGTGGGGCCACTGTAAAATGCTAGGACCTGCTAGGAAAAAGCATCTTGAGGGTTGCTGACAAACATCAAATTGAAAGACACTCCTTCAACCAAAGGTTATCCGGCAATTAGCATCAGTTCGATCAGTTGGTATAGCCTGGTTAGCATCGTCTGGAAGAGCATTGGTTTGAAATATTGCATCCAAACAAGCACACAAAAGACCGTGCCATCTGACTAGACCTGCTGATCAAACGGCCCAGGGGATCCCAATGGACCTGCCGCTCGTTCGGTCGTCGGATCCCGATGGATCTGCCGCAAAATGCCTGTCTTGCTTCATGTCGTGCTTCACGGCATCGCGTTGAGCAAACCGGATGCTCATGATCTTGGTCGATTCCTCTCTGGCCTCCCATGGATCACAGGTGAACCGGCCGCTCAGGACCATGAGCTCGCTCCCTCTATCTGCACTGTTCACTGGTCTTTCTGCAGGTGTGTTTCAGATTGTTCACTGCCTCTTACTTTAAAACTCTTGCTCAGCTGACGCTGCCCCCGACTCAGGAAGAGGTGGGTCTCGGGAGCACCAGCAGAAAGCAGAATGGCATGTTACATATGGCAGAATAGGCAAATTAAGTGACAGTCCACATGGGGAACCTTCTCATATTGAAATATTGTTCTAGAATGTTTTGGAATGCTCTAAGTATATACTTGGGCATGTTGTGTTTGACCTGTAATTGCATACATCCGTCTCATGCTGAGTGCCTTCGCACACATCTCCAGTCTTCGCAAAAGCCGTTCCCGTTCCTGTGCCAAAGCGGACAGGGTCCAAACACAGTTGGCAAAGGCTGGTTTACACATCTTCCGGTGGTAACCAAGCTGCAACCCACCAGCCACCATCTGAATGGCTGTTTGCAACCCTGGTGGTAACCCTTCCGGCCAATATAGCAGCGTATCCAATTTACTGTGCATAGATAGGGCAGATGGGATCAGATGGGCTAATATGCATCCAGCGTGCTGGCATCACTGCCCTTTGTCTCAAACACGGGCTCCAAGTCTCTACAAATAGGGCGGGGATATAATATAGACATCCACCGTTGGCCATTGGCATTTTTCTTCCGAATCTCTCGAGACTCTCAACCAGTCCCCAGCCTCTGTACTGGAAGCTTTCGGCAGCAAGTGCGTCCTCGAGAGTAGAGGACACATGGCACCACGCTTGTGACGCAGTGAGGCCATGGCGCTCACATGTCAATACTGATCTGATTTCTTCTGGGTTCAAGTTCAAGCCATGCCGGAGATGCCTCTACACTTCGAGAAATGAATGATGTAAACTATATATGATATGATATCAACGCAACATATGCTAGTAACTCACACATCCACAGTCAAATCGCGGTAGAGCTGGGATTCAAACAAGCCATACTGAAGCAGTTGGGGCCTTGGTCGCGCATCTAGTGGGCTCAACAAGGAGGCAAAATGATGCTGTGATGAAACAAATGCAAAAAAGAATATGAAACACAAAGATACATAATGTCCAAATTCCAAATAACAGCAAACAACCAATCTCCCCGTCCAACAATGCCTTTTGCCGAGTAATCTCGGTCACAGCCATTGCCCAAACGGGCGGAGATGTGGAAAAATAATTTACCGAAAGGGAGACTTTGGAGCATGTGCTTTTCTCCATGCAACGTGCATCAGCCTGCTGTCCAAAACCGTTTTTTGGGCGCTGGATCTTCTGTACAAAACCCTTGCAGCTTAAACTGGTTTGCACTCGCCTTCTCGGATGTGTGCAGTGCATTGTGCTTCCATGTGTTGCAAACGCAGGTTTTCAAGCAGTCAGTTCAAGACCACCCACCATCTTATATATTTTGGTCACTCGGATTTATACAATGTTCTACCTGCAAAGCCAACAGAGTTCCGTGCTGGTCCTCAATGAAGTGCTCGTTGATACCGCTCGAGGTCGTGTAGGTCGACTCTCCCCTCGAGTTCGGCATGGTTTGGCCGTTCCCCAAACATTGGGAATCCAACTCAATGGGTAGAAACCTGCAGAAACCATCTCCAAGAGCTGTGTGAGAAGGGTTCACATGAGGATGATTCACTAGATAGTGACCTCCCTCCGTTTGACCCGGGAGGGGAAACTATAGTGCTCGGATTAGATGAGAACAAGCATGATTCTAATTGTAACTCGACACGTTCAAAGCTCCCACGGGTCCACATCTCTGTTGCCTTTGGGGAGTTTTTGCTGTTTCAAGAAAATCCGACTTTGATGATGCACATCTGTTCAATCATGTTCAATCCTTTTCACTTTCAACTGAGCCGACCCCAGCCTCAGAAGCCTTTCCCGTTGGGAGTGCGGAGCTGCCTCCGCTCAACAGGACGCCGACCAGGAAAAGCGGAACGCCCGCTGTCAGCGAAGGGTGGAATTGAGCGAGGAACATGAGTCATCAGGTGGCATCTGAAACAACGATTCAGTGCCATTATCCTAATTTTGATGCTATTTATATCCTAATTCTCTTATTTTCCTATGTTGTTATTGTTTTTATTTTGATCACACCCAATGGAAGCTTAACTCCCTCAACACGACACTAGGATAGGACTTGACTATACATCAAAGAATTTCCCATTGGCCTTGAACATGCAGCCTGTTCGTTGCAGCCCAACAAGGCTGGCTTTGAAATATGTACCAATATCGTATCAAATTGTGCCTGTTATATAGCCTCCATTGAAGTCTATTCCCCTCACCAAGCTGTTCCCAACCAGCCTGCCATTCACCCAGCGTATCCCCTATCAGCGGTTGGGAACCCTTTCCCAAGCTCGGAACCTTTCCCAGCAAAACACCTCTGTCCATCTCAATCCGTATATGTCACACACACACACAACAGTGAACATCATTAAATGTTTGTTGGCCGCTGTTTCCGTGGCACATGTTTGCGCCCATGTCAGGCACTTGGATTTGAAGGGTTATATAACTAAACTACAGTAAGTGTTTCATTCCTTGGCGGTGTGTGGCCCACTTTACAGCATGCCGTCGCTGTCTTAACCTCTCCAAACCCTTTTCCATGCACCACTTGCCATCGCCCGATCGCGCCAGATCATCACCCCCTCGCGGCCGATCAAAGGACCTGCGGCCGAGTGACACCGATGAACATGGTGGATTCATCACCCCCATCGCTGTTGGACGTGCAGCGATCTTTGATGCAGCATGATACCAGCAAACATGTGAATAGTCTTCAATAATTGACGTTCATGGGCAATCTACCATGAACGTGCTTTGTTTCTAGTGCGGTCCAAAAGATTTCGAGTTACATGGACCAAAACAAAAAGGAGATCTGCTGCTGAGTCAAAGCAACAAGCAAATGAGGGAAACAATGATTTGAGACAGTGGCAAAATAAGTACCTTATAATAAGCAATGATAAACCAAAGCCCTTCACTGATGAAGAAGTGAGTCTTTCAATCCAGAGTCCTAGAATTTCTCCTCAGTACTTATGTGGATATGTGGTGGAAGTCGGGCCTCTCTCTCTCTCTCTCACTCTCTCCCTATCCTTTTGGATCTCTCTTGCTTGTGAAAATCAAACACACACATGACGAACCCGACGAGCAAACCAAAACCTTGACCTCACTTTCACGGGCACGTTTCCGTAGGTGGGTTGAAGCTCTTTTGCTCTGAAACCTATACAGGCGTCTCATGGTTTCACAGCATGACGAATATATATATATATATATATTCGTCATGCTGTGAAACCATGAGACGCCCAACCACTTGTCAATTGGAGGACAATCTTGCAGATAGCCCAGAATCATATTATGGTAGCCTTTCTTTGGGATGGCCGTGTGGTCTGTTGGGGCCATTTGGCTCATCAGCACAGCCGGCTGAGCACCTATCGGTGAGGTGTCCAGGACGAAGGCCTCCGTTGGAAAGCGGCGCAGTGGTGCGATGCGGTGCAGAGGTCCACTGAAGAGGTCATAACAGGAAACATCACCATGAATCCATTAACAACCCATATCAGATCATATCAGCGTTCTCCCATCTTCTCCCCAATGTGGAAGACTCTTGCCAAATGTCGAAGACAGCAAGAAACGTGGCAACGGGATGATAAGGACACGCAATTAAAGAAGCAAGCAAGCAACACCTCAATGGACTACTCCGGATCACTCCGGGGTCACCAATGGCCTACCCCCACGGGGTACCTATGAGCTTTCAAGGAGGCACCCCGTGGATCTCGGTGTCATAGATCTGCAAATTCTGCCCCTGGCCTTCCGTGAAGGGAGGCAAAAAGGCCTGGCAGCCGCAGGTTAACAGCTTGAACATCTGAAGCATGGAAAAAACTTATGACAAAATACTTAAGTTGGAAGGAGCAGAAGTGACCTCTCCGTGGGTCCTGAGGCACCTCTTCACTTTGAATTTGAACTCAATCCCGGCTTTCCCGACCCTATGAAAATGGCTGTTGGGCCATCTTGGTCGCAGGACTGGTCGCTGTGGTTGCCCTGGCTTCCCCGCCTCCCTTCTAGTCTATGATCAACAACGCCTTTCCCAACAGATTAAATCACATCGGATTCGTACCATATGTCCCATCATTTAGGAAATCTGATGACTTTAAACTCTTGATTCAGGAATTCAGTTTAGTTTAAACAGTATTAAACAACACTGCGATAAAATATATGAAAAACATCAATTCACGAGTGGGATTACTACAGGTTGGGAACTTCGAAGGGACATGGAACTGATGGACCACCAACATGTGCCGCAAGTCCGACTGGAGATTCATGGCGCTTGATTCTCACAATCAGAATGTAGCTTCAAGCTCACTAAGAACCACGGGCAACCCCTACAATCCCATCAAAGTTTAGGCTCATGAGCGTGCATGAGGTATGGTCACAAATTCCCGCCCTTTTCCAATGAACCACTGCATGTAACAATGTCCATCAAACACCAACCCTGTCAGGTCATGGCTCACCATCAAGGCGGTTTCTTCCATGACTGTGCTTTTTCTGTTGCAAACAAAAAACAAGTCACTCTTTCATTCACACGTTTTGATGTGTCTCCGTCTTCTCAACGAACTCGGTGGCTGGCCTTTTGATTCAAGGCGTTGAGGCTGCTGAACTCGGCAATGATTGGGCCCTCCATGGCCACCGACTACTATGCTCAGCGCGTTCTGGCCACGGTGGGGACGATGCTCTGGATGGTTGGGGGCGAACTCGCTCGGGTTTGTGCTAACTAAGAATTATCTAAGATATGTTTAACAAATAAGTCTGTATATTATAGGGTTTTATAAATTATAAACATCATGAACCGGCAGCTGAGTATGTTTGGATATGTTTGGGCATCTGTCAGTCCAAACATGTCCAAACTAAAACAGTTCTTCAGAGTGACCATGGTTGGCCCATCCGTGCCCTACAAATTTCCTCTGAGCCAAGCGCCGACTCTCAAGCTTTGACACAGCAAGCAAAGCAAAGCAGCTTCGGCCAAAAGGGGGCAAGGATTTAGCACTGCACCTGCACACTCCTGGAATGAACATCACACAGTCACACAGAGACCATTTCAAAACTCGGACCTGCCAGAAGAATGTAAAGGGTTCAAGGATGTTAAAGGTGCAAAAGAACATTCAAAAACGAAGATGGAACTTACTGTAATCCTTCCCAACCGTTTGTCAGGTGATGACAGTCTCGCCCACGCAGCAGCGACGCTTTCTGCGGAAAAGCCTTTTCAATACGCCCGCGCTGGAGGCGTCGTTGGCTTCCCCGACGAACTGGTTCAACATCTCGGCCACGTGCCTTCGATACCTCCGGCAACACGCCAAATTGTTCACACGGTGAGAAGTTCGATCAGAATGAAACATAGCAAAATGGCCGATCTTGATGGTTTCCGAAAGAACAAATGGGCTTAAAATCGCCAAGATCCAATTTGGATCAATTTGGAATAATTTGCGATACCTAGCTGGACATAAGTTGATGGGATTTGACCAATGTTGATGAGTTCAACAACCGGCCGTTGACCTCATCGACTCGGCCCAAACCCCGATCCCCGCAGCCAACCCGGCAACCCTGACCACCGATAACTGAACCATCAGACTCCCCCACCTCACAGCCAAGTCTGGGCCTCAGCGGTGGCAGGAAGGGATCGATTTGGTGAATTCATCATGCCATTCCTTTGCGCCAGAAGTCAGTGAACTCATTGATCGGTGATTTAACACGTTCTCGTGGCCATACCCCCCATTCTCCTCGCTGCTGCGAAAGATTTGGTCAATACATGTCAATACAAGTACCGAAATATACTCGATCACTTAATGAGGAATAAATATAGGATGTTATAGGGACAATCCTTAGCCTTTCTCTTATTTTAATTCATAGTGACCAACCTCTTGCCCTCCGATCAACAGTTCGACGGGCATAGGTGCGTCGGAGCGCGCGCGTGCTGACGGCGCTGGCTGCCAATATCCAAAATCCCCCAAGATTTCAAATCGAAGATGTACCAAGATTCTCCAAGTTTTCCTCTGTTCCCGTCCCATTTTGTAGCAGTGTAGCAAGTCTCAATTTGTTCCCTCCAACCGACTTGAGGGTCTCGGTCCTCGCACTACCAGCATCTGGCATGTCCTCGCAGTCTGTGTCTTTTGGAGCGGCCACCCCAGAACGCAGAACGCCATGTGCCAAGCTGGTGGAGCACTGATCGACAGTTCAGCGGCAGAATGAACCTGCTTTCAGCAAATTTCAATGACATCCACCCCACCTCACTATGTTCGGATCCGCTCCACATTCCCTTCTCCAAAAATGCCGTTTCCTGTCCCGGAATGGTGTTTTCTGTGCCCGTGAGGGCTTTGTGTTCCCGCAGGTGTTTGCAGTTCCCGCCTGTGGGGTTGAAATGTTGCTGCTTTCTTGCTTTACGTTCCCGGAGGAGAGTTTTCTTTGTCCAGCAAGGCTTTCCGTCCCCGTAAGGGTGTTTTCTGTTCCCGCATGGTTCGGGTGAGCTTTGGTGTGTGTGAGTGTGTGTGTGTGTGTGTCCGTTCGGCGACGACAACCACTACTACTGGTACAACTGCTACTACTGCCACTGCTGCTACTACTGCTACTACCACTACTACCACTACTAGTGCTACTACTACTACCACCACTACTACTCCGACTACTCCTACTACTACTACGACTGCTACCACTACCACTACTGCAACTGCTACTACCACTGCTACTACTACCACTACTGCCACCACTTCCACTACCACCACCACTACTACTACTGCTACTACTACTACTACTACCACCACCACCACCACTACTACTTCTACCCCTACCTCTACCCCTCCTACTGCTACTACTACCACTACCACTACGACTACGACGACGACGACTACTACTGCTACTACCGCTACCACAACAACAACAACAACAACAACAACAACAACAACAACAACAACTACTACTACTACTACTACTACTACTACTTACTACTACTACTACTACTACTACTACTACTACTACTACTACTACTACTACTACTACTACTACTACTTTCTACTACTACCCGTGCTGCTACTGCTACTACTACTACTGCTACTACTACTACTACTATTACTACTACTATTACTACTACGACTACTACTACTACTACTACTACTACTACTACCGCTACCACAACAACAACTACTACTACTACCACTACTACTACTAC